GGGGGACACCTGAAGGGGCAGAGAGAGGAGCTGGAAGACCTGTGGCCTCAGGATCCAACGTGGGTGAGGACTTGCTTTAGGAGCCGAATTTAACACATTGACTGTCACGTGAGTTGTATCTAACTCACGCTAGTTTTGAGCCCGGGGCCTCGCGAAGCATATGTAACTCACACCTTTCTTCACCTTGGAAGCCGCCTGAACTATTTTTCAAGGTGCATATAACGTATGCACAGAAAACAACAAACAGTAACAAATTTTTCATTAAACGAGAAAGGATCGTTTTGTTTTCCAAGGTTTTATTCTATTTTCCTAATAAAACACCGTGGCCCCAGGGACGGGGGCAATTTTTTTTTCTAGCGTGGCCGTCAATGTGTTAAAGCAGCAGCGTCCAAAAAAAAAGTTCAGTTAAGATTTTAATGCAGTATTTTCACCGATAAAATTGAACGTAAACAAATATATGCTAAACAAGAAAACTGAAATTTTGAATCCAAGCCAGGATCGGTATTACTGGGCTGTCCTTTCGGTTCCGGTTTCGGTGTGGGTGGCGATCACTGGGCCCGGGGCGGGGGCTTCTAGACCACTCACCCACAGGGCCCCAAGGAGAGGGACCAGGTGGGATTCCTTCCCGCCCTGGGGACGCCAGCCCTGGGAATCACCCTCACCTGGAGAACTGTTTGACCTGGTGGAGGAGGCCCTGGGAACTGGAGGCTGGGGAGCTCTTGGAGGCAGAAATCCCAGGAAGAGGCTGGAAGGGTCGAAGAAGAGATTAATAAAACCTACAGCCCCCCCACCCCCCAAACATCCAAGCCCCGGGTCTCCATCTCAGCCAGAGTTTTGGCACAGCGCGAAGGGATGGGATAAGGTGGGACCTCCTAAAATCACAATTTGCTTTCTCTCTTGTTATTGAGGTGCTTAAGGAGTATCTTTCATTTTGCATGTTGAGCTGAAGTCTAAAATATTCAAAAAATAAATTTTTCTCTTAAAAAAAAAAATGAAAAAATTAGCTGGGCATGGTGGTGCGTCCCTGTAGTCTCAGCTACTCAGGAGGCTGCAGCAAGAGGATCACTTGAGCCCAGGACTAGGAGGCTGCAGTGAGCTGTGATTTGGCACCTGTGCTTGAGTGTGGCCGTGATGGGCTACTGCGTCCAGCTGCAAGGCCTGGCCCGTGCTTGCCCAGGTCACAGGTGGATACAAGATCAGAAGGGAACAGAAGTGGATTGGACCTTGGGCTCTCCCCAGGGTAGTGCCACCCCATGCCCTCCTAACCGAAGTTCCTTTGAGGGTAGCCCTGGGGCTGGTTTGGTCCATAGAAGTCATCTTCAGGCAGCAGCCCCTAGGACTTTAGCCGGAGACCCTAAAAAAATAACAAGGAGATAGCAGGTCTTGAGGATAGAGCACTGCCAGGGACAGAGCCAACCCTACCCACCCGATGTCCTAGATTCCTCCTTCTACACCTCTACCTGCCCTGATTAATGGTGGGGACCCAGAGGGCCTGAACCGTGCTCCCCAGACCTCACCGTGCGAACTGGGCCATTAGAAAGGGGTTTTGAGGGATGAGTAAGAGTTAGCCAGGTGACTGGGGTCATTTAGCAGACAGGAGGAGAGACCTCCCTCCACCCCCACCACTGCTGCAGCACCAAGCTCCTGCCTGACTTCAGTTCTGCCCCCGACGCCCCTCCAGCCCCCTCCCCGGGCCGGGAACCCTGGAGCTCCCTCTGAGGAAGGGGACAACTCACGTCCCCCAGGATGCAGAAGGACACTGCAGACAAGTCAGCCAAGTTCAAGCCAAGAGGAAAAGCCTCCTCATCCCCCACCCGCACTGGGGGCCTTTGACCCGTCGGGCCCCGGCCCGGCCCCGCCCCCGGCCCCGCCCAGCCGCCACCTGCACCGCGAAGCCGCTCAATGAGCGCACTGCAGCTGCACGTGGGCTCGGGCTCCGCGGGCGGCGGTGGGCGGCGCTAGCCAATCGCGAGGCCGCTAGCCCACGTGGGCCAGCCTCGCCGTCGCTGATTGGTCGGCTCGCCCAGGCCGCCGGCCGCGCTGTCACTCAGCGAGCCCCAGAGCCTCCGCTTAACCCTTGCGGTCCCGCTGCCTGGAAGGTGGCGCGCAGAGCTAGCCAGACGCAATTTGGGCGGGGGGCGGAGTCCCAGCAGGGTCAGGGAAATGTAGGAGGGCGTGGGCCTTGGGAGGCCAGAGGATAGGCGGCGAGTAGTTGCCTTGGTTATGGAGTCTGATCATTTTTGGGGTCTTTGGCCCTCTCACCCCAGTTCTTAGAGATGGGCGAATGACGTTTTTCCTCCCTATTGAATAACGTGCAATGCAAAGGGAGCTTCAGGCCCCCTTTCTGCAGAGAACTTACTGATTCCCGGGATCCAGCGCTTCCTGGGAGCCCAGCTGGGGCTACGCAATTAATTCATCAGTGAATTTTTCCAACTCTCCTCCCAGCCCTGTGACAAAGGACCTGAGAGCCAGCACAAGGACAGTGAAGTCACAGCATCGCTAGGTTCAAGGCCAGGGTCGGGAGAGCAATGATTCTGGCTGCAGAGCTTGGCAGCCAGGGAGGCCTGGGGTGACGCCAGAGAGACACCTGGGACAGGCAGTGCAGGGGTCCTTACTGAGGGAGGGAAACCTGTGTGTGGGTGGTGGAGATTCAGTTGTTTCTGGCCAGGTGCAGTGGCTCATGCCAGTAATCCCAGCACTTTGGGAGGTGGAGGCAGGAGGATTGCCTGAGGCCAGGAGTTTGAGACCAGTGGGGCAACATAGCAAGACCCGTCTCTACAAAAATAGAAAAAATTAGTCAGGCATGGTGGCGCATGCCTGTAGACCCAGCTACTTGGGAGGCTGAGGCGGGAGGATGGCTTGAGCCCAAGGAGTTTGAGACTGCAGTGAGCTATGATGACGCACTGCACTCCAGCCTGGGTGACAGAGGCAGACCCTGTCTCTAAAACAAAACAAAACAAACGTTCTCTTTTGGCTGGTTCAAAATTCCTATTTGAAATATGAAGGGGTCCGTCCAGACTTCTGGAGTGAGAGGTTGAGTGTCTGCCTGCCCCAGGACCTTTGCACTGGCTGTCCCCTCTGTCTGGGACAGTCTCCCTTGGGCAGCCACTAGCTGGCTCCTTCACTCTGAGCTCTCTGCTCAGAACTCTCCACTCAGCCAGGCCTCCCAGGACTCCCTTCCCTGTATCTCCCTTTCTTATTTTTTTTTTTCTCCCTCCCAGTGTGGTTTGGATTGCAGCTAATCTTGTAATCTCAGTGGCTCCTGTGGCAGGAGCCTCCCACAAAGATGGCTCTAAACCCTGCTGCATTCAAAATTCATAGAATGCTGTCAGGATTCTTCCTCCAGAGAAGTGTCCCCTCTGTTCTGTGACCTTGCAGTGAGACACCAGCACCCGGGGAGGTCTCATGACTTGGGATCCCAACCCGGCCTGAGAACTCTTCCTCAGTTTCCCCTGTTCCACCCTTTTTACTGGTGGGAGCTGGAGGCTTTAAGTGTGGGATGAGTAACCCGGGGGAGGTTATAATGTAAACACGTATCAACGTGGGTTTTGCGGCCGCTCCGGGCCCTTAATTGAAGTGTGTTTTTATTTATGGTCTGGCCTGCTAACTGCCTTCCTCTGTGCACTTTGCTCTTTCCCTGTCCCTGGCTATAGGGACATCCCTCTATCCAAGGCTGTGTTGTCACACAGGGTACCCACGAGGCACATGTGGCTATTTAAATGAACATTAATGACGATGAGATAAAATTTAAAATTCCATCCCTTAGGTGCACTGGCCGCATGTCAAGTGCTCAGTCCTTACATGTGTCTGGGGGGTGGTCATCGGCCTGGACAGCAAAGATCTAGAATGTTCCGTCATCACGGAAAGTCCCTGTGGACGGTGCTGATCTGAGGTTCTCAGAGAAATTCTGGCTCCATGTGGAAATCGTGAGCTTGTTAGCGGTCGTTGCATTTCTACTTGTTATAGGCCCCGCTGCAGGTGGGGTTGGGGTGACATTTGGTGCTTTCATTGGTAGGTTTTCACCCTTGGTTCCTCGGTTCCTCCTTTGGCTGTGCCTGGCTCCTCCAGCCTGGCCGGCAGAGAAGCCGCCTCCCTCGCGCCCTGCGGGGGAGATGGATGACACAGCAGACGGCAGGGGAGGCCAAGAGCTCCTTCCTGTTCTTGGCTTTGGAGTGGCTACAGTTTACTTGGAAACTCAAGGGCTGGAGGAAGGTTTGAGAGAAAAGACTTTTGCATTCCAAAAGCTTCGGAATTTTTCTTTATTTAAAAAAAAATTTTTTTTAGAGTTATGGTCTTATTGCCCAGACAGGAGTGCAGTGGCACTATTATAGCTCACCGCAACCTGCAACACCTGCGCTCAAGCGATCCTCCCGCCTCAGTCTCCCGCTGGGACTACAGGCACAGGCCACCACCACACCTGGCTAATTATTTAAATTTATTTCTTGTAGAGATGGGGTCTGGCTATGTTGCCCAGGCTGGTCTAGAACTGTTGGCCTCCAGCGATCTTCCCGCCTCAGTCTCCCAAAGTGCCGGGATTACAGGCGTGAGCAACCAGGCCCAGCCTTGGAATTTTTGTTTAAAAAAGAAAACATCAAAAAAACTCAAGGAGAAGATAGGAGGGAGATTGGAAAAGGTTCTCAGCCCCGACCCCGAGGCTGAGGGTTCCCTGTGTTCCTCGTGGGCCAGGCAGAGGACTCTGGGGAGAGCCCAGGAAACAGGGCAGCCGTGGAGTGACTTCTTTGGGCTCTTGGAACAGCAGGGAGGTGGTAACAGTTTTCAACTCCCCCCCATCACTGCCCACCCGCAGAGGGACAAGCTGTGGGTAGGAGGGCCTTAGTGACTGAATAACCAAGAGGCAGGCAGGACAGCGACCCTCTGAAGATGCTGGCTGGTCTGGGGTTCACTCAAGGGCCAGCTGCCCCCAGCTGTCCCTACTCTCACATCCGCAAGAACCCCTGGCGCGGGAAGAGTGAACTTCTCCAATTCCCTGGGGTCCGCTGAGCTTTGCTTTCTGCCACCTGGTAGAGAGAAGCTGGCGTTTGTTTTCTGTGACTACTGCAACCAATGACCACAAGCTCGGTGGCTTAAGACAACAGAAACGTATTTTCCATGCAGTTCCAGAGGGCAGGATGCAGGTGTGAGCGGGGCTGGGCTCCCTCAGAAGGCTCTCAGGGCGGAGGGTCTTTTCTGGCCTCTTCCAGCCTGTGGTGGTCGCTTGCTGTCCCCGGCTGTCCTTGGCTGAACTCCCATCTCTGCCTCTGTCTTTGTCTGGCCTTTGTCCCCGTGCGTCTCTGCGTCTGTGTCTAGATTTCTCTCTTTTTATAAGGACACCAGCCATTGGATCTAGGGGTCACCTTAATCCAGTGTGACCTCATCTTAGCTAATCACATCTGCAATGACACTATTTCCTAAGAAGGTCACATTCCCAGGTACATTGGATGGAGGGGCCATTATGACTTCAACATATCTTTTTGAGGGGACACAATTCTACCCACTACAGGGCTCACAAATGAAATTAAGTGTTGGCTGGGTGTGGTGGCTCATGCCTATGATCCCAGCACTCTGGGAGGCCGAGGTGGGAGGATCGCTTGAGCTCAGGAGTTCAAGACCAGCCTGGGCAAGAGCCAGACCTCGTATCTACAAAAAATAGAAAAATTAGCTGGGCGTGGTGGCACTTGTAGTCCCAGCTACTCGGGAGGCTGAGGCAGGAGGATCGCGTGAGCCCAGGAGTTCAAGGTTGTAGTGATAGCACCACTGCACTCCAGCGTGGGGACAGAACAAGTCTCTGTCTCAAAAAAAAAAGAAAATAAAGAAAGAAAATGATGTTTGTTCGGGAATAGTGCATTGACCTGGGGCTACGCCTGCCATGGTAAATTATGTGCATATTCAGGGAGGTAAAGGAAAACAAAAGTTTTTGAAGGAAAAATGAGGAGGATTACATAATTGTTTTGAGGTAATTATCCTTGGCCACAAGAAACAATAGCAAGGGTGACGCCAGTCTGAGGTTGGACAGAGGTTGCTGGGCAGATGTCCTTGGAGAAGTACTTTCTGTGTTTGCTAGTGAAGGCCTGGGTGCCAGGCTGTGGTTTTCCGCAGTCTTTTGCGACAGCTTTTGTTATCAGACGTTTATGCGTGAAGATCCTCTCTCTGCAGCCTGCCTGGCTCTACTTGTTATAGTTTTGTTTTTTTTTAACACAAGCGACTCCATTTTGATTCTGACAACTTTCACCTGGGTAACTACAGAAACTCACTTCATCCGTTCATCAACTTTGATATACCCGTTTTACAGAGGTGGGAACTAAGGCCCGGGGAGGTTA